CACTATCAAATTCGTCCTCTCCAATCATGTACCAATGTGCCAAAGTACTGGTCCAAATAGAACCTTTCAAGTTCGTCCACAAGTAGTCTTAATAAATGTAATTCTAGTAAAAATTAACCAACAAACACCAGTATTTCATTCAAAGAATTTGTATTTGAGTAAATGAGTTTCTAGTTCTAAACAAGCAAGTTTGAACAACCAGCTGATGGTTATAAAACTGAACTGACTACTGTTAAATTCTAAGGGTTTATATACTTTTCCAATAGTTCACAGTTCACAGATAAAAATATTCACACAAACAAATGTAACAATTTGGATAAAGGGAAAGTTCAAATATACTTCCATGTTTGTTACTTTTTCTTTATCTTGGAGAACTTTTGCTCCCTATTTTAGTAGGTCAAAAAGTTGCCTAAGATGTAACAATTATTAATAGAAGTTGGATTGATTCCAAAACACAAAAATAGGAAAAGGTCAACTTGATGCCGTTTTAATATACAACAAATTATTAATAATAATTGTTTGTGTAAGATAATATGTTTCTGTGTAAAGGACTGGTAGCATAAAAGTATTAAACTTAATTAACTAATATAGTATTGTGCATACAATACTGTTGAAAAGTGACAATAATCTAAAAACTTCAAATATAAATAGAATAGTGGAAGATATAATTAATATTCATTAAATATGATGTGTATAATAATTAGGGTTAACATCTAAGTTATAAAATACTTTTACAACTTAGTTTAAATAGTGTATGTTGTAGTTTTAGGCGTGTAGAGTACTCTATAATACTCTTTCAATATTGCTTTCCATCGATGAAAGAAATGTAACAATTTGGGTGTATTGTGTGAATTTGTGAGCCTGGTTATAAGCTTATGTGTTTAGTACCTATGAACTGCCTAAATGTGTACATATAAGTTTCATAAAAAAATAGAGTTCAAGCATGTAAAATATAACCAAAGCTGTACAACAATAAGGCTTTTTCTTTTGTTATGATTGTGTTCATGTTTACTCTTTATGAAAATATTTCATTTTTGTTGAATAATAACTGGACATTGAACATTCATATTGTACAACTTTGGTTATCTTTTACATGCTTGAACTCTATTATTTTATGCAACTTATACATGTACATCTTAAAACCTACACAAGAAAATGCTATAACATTGGCCAAACATAAGTCTGATTAGTCAGCTTGAAGGCTCATCTTTAATTACCAATAAAGGTTTGGCCAAGTTATAATTTAATTAACTTGCCTAGGGTGTGGCCAAGTTATAATTTAATTAACTTGCCTAGGGTGTGGCCAAGTTATAATTTAATTAACTTGCCTAGGGTGTGGCCAAGTTATAATTCAATTAACCTTCCTAAATGTTGAACCTTGTAACATCCTCTTACTAAAGATAAATATGAATTACACATTTTTTTCAGTTTCATTTTCATGCAATAAGTTTTCCTCTATATTACAAGTAATGTAACTTCATAATGATTACAACTGTCTTTAACCCTGTTATTGAGAGTACAACTCAGAGCAGCTTTTACAATGGGATCATCATTGATCACATCTGATAAACTAATGAAACAATATCTGTCACTCAAACTTTTGCATGAAGAAGGCTTATCATCTAACATTTCTGTAATATTAAGCAAAGTTAAATAAATATTTGGTTTTTACATAGTAAATATCATCTTTACAGATATGATGACAAAGTGAATTTCTTCAGTCCTAAACTTTTCTGCACATTTTTTGCAAAACACTCTTTGAGATTCTAAATGAAAAATGAAAAACATGAATAATTTAATAAAAACATATAAACAGACAGACCTTTGAGCATTCTTCATGTACATAATGTTGGCACTCACTGCATTTCATCTTACTCTGTCTACCATAAAATCATTTATTACAGTTAATACAAACAGGTGCCCTTAGTAAATTTCTAATTCATTTCTCTTTTAATAGCATTACATAATTCAGAGAAAACTGGTAAAAACATTACAATACATATATCTTTCTTCAAAAATATTAATATATTTTTTTTATAAATGAAGTAAATAGCAAAAAGAAATATTTTTGATTCAAAGTATCAATAATTATACCTGGTATATCCTTAGCCATGCATAGGATGTTTTTTCCCAGGGACGTCTTTTTCAAACCGCCATAGCTCCTAAATGGCTGGGCAGATTTGGTTCAAATTTTGTACAGAGATTCGTTTGTATTGGGACTAACTCTGTACCAAATTTTATAGAGATTGGAGCAGTTTGAAAATTTCGATAATTTTATTGGTCGACTCACAAGTGGAGGACACTTATATTCGACCTGCAGGTACATCAAGCCTGTCAATAATCAGTCTGGTGGCAATTGTACTGTGGCTTTTCAACTCACTTGAAAAAGGGTCAATAGACCTGAAGTATTGTGAGTGTTTTTATTTTGGTGAATTGTTACATCTGTTAAATACAGGTTCTCTTCACCCTTGTTGAGAATATGTAAGTGGTTTTGTTGGAGATACAATTACAGCTTAGGCTGGGGAATTGCTACTCAGGATAGCAACTCCTCATTAGCTACACCAAAACTTAGCCAAATCTTGGTTACAAGTGTGTGTACACTTTTGTTAGCTATGTGGGCTCTGACTTATACATAATATCAAAGTTTGTTGATCACTACCTGGTCTAATTGGCTAAGAGCACTACTAGTTATGTCAAAAATACCCAGCATTGTATTAATAAATTGTCCAAAATCCAGAACTGGGAACACAGAAAAATCTATACAGCAGATGTGGAAGCCTTGTACCCAAGTATCAACCCTGAATGGGGTATAAGAGCTGTTAGAGAATTTATGCTAACACATTACCATGAGGATATACCAGATGAATTAATTTTGGATCTACTCTGAATTTGTCTCACCAACAATGACTTTACATTTAGAAACCACAGGTTCCTACAAATCAAGGGCACAGCCATGGGAGCCCCTTTTAGCCCAGCCTATGCCAACATTGTGCTACACATTTGGGAATGCAAATTGGTCTCCAGGCACTCTGAAAACATTGAATATTATGGGAGATATATTGATGATATCATTGTTGTCTCTAAAGCTGATAAAGATATTAGTGAATTTAAACTGGAACTCAATGGAAAAAACCCTGATATATACAGAGCCCTGACCAAGGGAACCCCTCATTGAAACCTCTGTGGAGCCCTAACTTAAAGAGAACTCCCATACAACACCTAGAAGCAAATACTGTACCCTGACCAAGGAGAACCCCTACCATAACCAATACAAAGCTGGTAACATTGATTAACTAACCAGTTCCTAAAACTGACAACAGTTCTGTGAGTGGCCTAACCAAACCTAAACCAAACCCTAACCTAACGAAATATAAGTACTTCTATATTTGCACCAGTCTAATTCCTATAAAATAGAAGTCTTTCTAATGTACCCCTATATCTAAAGTCTAAGTATTGATATATCATTGTATCTAAGTGCACACACAATGCCAAACATTAAACATTCATATTAAATTGTATTGAATAAGGTCTACCATTTTATAAAAAGATTTTTATACTGAATTGTTGTGTACAGTAAACCCAGTTGATTTTAAAACTAAACCTACAAATTGAATTTTTCTGAAATAATATGGCAAAAGTAAGAATATTTTTTTTTAATTTATTAAATTATATTTTTTGGATTTTTTTAGGCAATTATATAGTTGAGATTTCAATAGCAATTTAGTAAAAATGCTGGAATATATGTTAAGATAATATTTGAAAGTATCTGTTGTCAGCCATTGCAACTAGACTTGGCAAATTACCAAATTTAATGTTACCTGTTTTATTTGCTTACAAATCTTAGTGAAAGGTTGTTTATCATTCTATTCTACATTTTTCATCACCAAACACCTATTTAATTCTAAGTATATTTTTAATAATAATATTTCTCAATGATAATTATTGTCTAGTAAACTACAAACTCAACCCTTCACTATGACAACAATATATATATTCTTATTTCATCTTTTAAAGATACTAGATTATAGTATGGTAAAAAAAGATCCTTTTGAGAAAATGTTGATCTAATTTGAGAACTAATAGTAATATAGTGAGAATATTATAATTAAAAATAAATGTATGTTTATAAAAATGTATTAAAAATGTAAAAAGCTAAGAATGTTATACAACGTTTTAAAGTTACTCAAATACAAACAAAATATGGTGAGACACTAAGAATTTTTTTGAATAGATTATTTGCAATCTTCTGTGAGAGGACAGCAGATTTAATCATTCATTTCTCTTTAAATAGCATCACATAGTTCAGAGCAAGTGGGTAAAATATTGCAGTACATTTTTCATTAAATTTATTACTAATTATGCCCAGTACATCTTTATCCATGCCTTGGACATTTTTTCCCATCTATGGGTGTACTTTGTTCTATTGTAATTGTAGGAAGTCCTAGCTCGTTGCTATAAAATTTGTCCTCTCCAATCATTTACCAATGTGCCAAAGTACTAGTCCAAATAGAACCATTCAAGTTCGTCCACAAGTAGTCTAAATAAATGTAATTCCAGTAAAAATTAACCAACAAACACCAGTATTTCATTCAAAGAATATGTATTTGAGTAAATGAGTTTCTAGTTCTAAACAAGCAAGTTTAGATCCCATCTATGGGATATCATTCCCAGGCATGTTTTTTCCCTAGGATGGTTTTTCTCAATCATAACCATTACATTAGTGATCATTAAAACATTTCTGTGTAGGCTTCAAATCTTTTTTTTCCCAATAAAATCTGTCAATAAATTTATATTTTACAGCACATTAGAAATAACTTACTTAACTATCATTATGAAAATATATTAGAATGTCTAAATGGTGATGAAAAATTTCAAACATTTCTACTACAGGAAGATGTGATTAAAGACAATTGTTTATCTGAGCAATTAAATTTTGAAAAGCTTTTTAAGGAACATATTCAATATGTGCCAACATCTAAATTCCTTTTAATTTTACTTAAAATGAACACAGTAAAATGTCAAAGACTTTCGGAATTGATTAACAATACTTGGACTATTTTAATGAGAGAGAGAAAGAATATTTTATTAAAGGATTTGGAAACAATTCCAAAGTTTCCATTTTTAAAAGAAAATCCTTCTCAGATTAATTTCAGTAAAATTTTCACACCCATCCAATTGGTATCATCAAAAAGTAATCTGGTTGTTGATGAAAATTTTGATGATATTAAATCCTTTCAAAAGATTTTAATTGATGAGGAAAATAAAAGAATTTTGATTAGAGGAGATGCTGGTATGGGTAAAACTTATCATGCAATGAAAATTTTACATTCATGGGTTCATGATGACACATTTTTGGACAATTGTCTTCTTTTGTATATCAAACTTGGAGCTGTTCAAAGAACTGCATCTAAAGAATCTTTGGTTGATGAACTGTTTACAAATAATTTTAAAAGAGACTCCTGCATTACCAAAGAACTCTTTCAGTACTTTTTTGAGCAGACAGAATGCAAAGAAAAGATGATTCTTCTTTTGGATGGGGCTGATGAACTGAAATATGAAGATTCAATATTTAATGATATTGTAAAAAAGTGTAATTTTACAATTTATCCAGTAATTGTTTGGGCAAGAAATTGGAAAATTAGACATGTTAGTGATACCTATGATTTTGTATTTGACATCAATGGATTCAATGAAAGACAATTGAAAATTTATTTTGAAAAATTTTTTAATGAAGACAATTTACCTGATTTAAAACTACCATTTTACCATAATAAAAGCCATAAGAAATTAACCACTAATTGTTTCCACCATGATGGAAAAGTTATAAAGAAATCTGATATTCTTTTTCAAATGTTAAAAACAGAAAACAAAGAAGTTTTTAACATTTGTAATAGTCCTTTAATAGCCTGTTTAGTAGCTGGTATTTGGGAAGAAAGAGATACAAATATTATAGGTACTAGATATTCTATTTTTGATCAATCCATACAGATTCTATTAACTAAGGCTGGCATTGATTCTAAAAGTAATGATTATACGAAAATTTTAGAATATTGTTCAAAACTGGCTTTTGAAAATTTACTTTACAATAAAGAAATATCAATAAATGAAATTGTAAAAAAGTCAGATTATATTGGTGGATTATTGATTCCAGTTAAGAAAAAATCATCTATGACGCAATTTAAAGATTTTACATTTATTCATATTTTCTTCCAAGAATATCTAACTGCAAGATATATCATAAATTTATACCAAGATAGCAAGAAAAATGAATCAATGATTCAATCACTAAAAACATATTTTGACAAGTTGGAAAATCTATTTTTATTGAAAAATGTTTTCAGTTTTCTTCAAGAAATAAATTATAAAGTATTTTCTCAAATTATTGAAGAGAATGAAAATATTCTTATGGTATTGGAAACTGATCAAAGAATTATTGATATAATAAATAGAAGGCATTCAAATTTAATTGAACTTGAGTCAATATCATTACCAACAACTATTATTAATATTATATTTAATTCCTATAAAAGAAATATCAAAGAAATCAATTTCAAATTTGTTAAGATAAATCTACCAAATTTTATTGAGATCTGTACCAGCCAATTGGAAAATATATTAGAAATTTTTAAAATCAATGGAGGTATTGAAGAATTATTAGAAATTGAAATAGTAAAAAAGTTAATGACAAAAATGCAAAAATTAAGAGTTTTAAGTATAACTAATGTTTTCTTCAATGGATGTTTAGAATTGTCATCCTTTATACAATCAACTACAATAGAAGATTTAACATTAGAAAATTGTAATTTACAAAAATGTTCACCTAGATTTTTGAATATGAAATTCAAATGTCTTTATTATTTCAATATTTCTGAAAATCAATTTGAAGGTAAGGAGTAATTTTTCAAATATGACTATTTTAAAACAATCAATTTTTTAGATAATCAGCCCTTGGATTATATTCTGATAAATAACAGAGATATTATCTCATTAAATATTTCAAAATGTTTTAATTCAGGAAAACAATCAGAAAATCTAATAAATCTTCTTCAACAATATCCAAATTTATCATTTCTTAATTTTTCAGACAATATCATTCCAAATAATATCTGTAATACAATATTTACAAATCAAAATAACCAAATCAGAGGTTTACAAATTAACAATTGTAACACAGAACTTGATTCAAAAGACATTATTACATTTTTGGAATTCAATAAAGAAATAGAAATTTTGGAGTTAAAAGGAAATGTTTTAAAAGAAAATGATGAAAACTCTTTTCTAACAGCTTTATTATCATTGCAAATTGTAAAACATCTGAAATTGCCATTAATAGATCATAAAGAAATGATTTGGAAAAAAGAAAAATTGTCTCAAAATTGTAAAAGTTTAATAAATCTGAAATTGCTGGATTTGGGAGAAAATTCTTTAGAACATGAATGTATAACTGACTTTTTTCAACAAGTTTTACAAAGTTCAAAATATTTATATACTCTTTTTTTAAGAAAGTCTAAAATTTCTTCCAAAGTTATAAACATGATGTCAAATTCTTATAGACAGGTAACTTCAACAACAGAAAATCTTCAAAAGCATAAACTTTATATGATATTTAATTCATGTGAATTTGACTTAAAATTGGATGATATTACTAAATTTTTCAATGGTATGTTCTACTTCATTGACTTAGATATATCTCATACAAAGGCACAATTGGTTATTGATAATCTCTCCAGTCTAAAATCTCTTGAGCAAATTGAAAATTTAATTTTAGCAAAGTGTCAATTAACTTCAAACGATCTAGCCAAAATTGGAAAGTGTATTCATATGTTCACATCTATAAAAAAGTTAGATATATCATACAATCCAATTGATTCATTTGCTCTTTTAAATTTTTTCAAAACGTTCACTATAAATAATCACAAATCAATTAGACAACTCTACATACACAAGTGTAATTTTCATTTGAAACATATTTTACAAATTTGTCAAGCTATTCAAAGTTTATACAACTTGGATATTTTAAATTCATTATCCAATCCTCAAACTGTCAATAAATTAAATACTTCAGAATTGGACAAAATACTTAATTCAAATCTATTCAATTTGTCTTTTATTCAAAAACTTTTAAATGATTTCTCAGATATATTAGATACAAGATTATTAAAAATTTCAAACAGTTACAACTTTCCAATAAATAACATACTAAATATAATTAAAGAAAATCAATCAATAGTTATTGACACATTGGAAATAACATCACAATTAAATATAACTCAAATATCACATCTAAAAGAAGCTATTGAAAAAAACATTTCTTTTCAAACATTACAAGCTTTGCTCATTGATGATAAAAACATATCAGAGCATGTTTTAGAATATAATGACAACAATGTTAAAGACAAATGTTCAGATTTAGTAACATTTCTTTTAGAACATATTAAAACAAATTGCACAAACTTGACCTTACTTAGAGTAAGCAATTGTGAAATTCAACAGGTTTGGTCATACTATTGGAGATGCAATTGGTAAACAAACTCTACTGACTGAACTATTTTTAAGTGACAATCCAATTGGAACAGAAGTTGGAAAAAGTATTTTTGAAAATATTAAAAGAAATTGCACAAAGTTGACAGCACTTGTTTAAGCAATTGTGGATTTCAATCTACAATTGGTGATGTTGTTGGAGATGCAATTGGTAAACAAACTCTACTGATAAAATTATTTTTAAATGACAATCCAATTGGAACTGAAGTTGGAAAAAGTATTTTTGAAAATATTAAAAGAAATTGTACAAAGTTGACAGTCATTGATTTCCAAAATTGTGGATTTAAATCAGGAATTGGTGATGTTGTTGGAAATGCAATTGGTAAACAAACTCTACTAACTAGGCTATCTTTAAGGGACAATCCAATTGGAACTGAAGTTGGAAAAAGTATTTTTGAAAATATTAAAACAAATTGTACAAAGTTGACAGATATTTATTTCCAAAATTGTGGATTTAAATCAGGAATTGGTGATGTTGTTGGAGATGCAATTGGTAAACAAAGTCAACTGATAAAATTATTTTTAAATGACAATCCAATTGGAACTGAAGTTGGAAAAAGTATTTTTGAAAATATTAAAACAAATTGTACAAAGTTGACAGTCATTGATTTCCACAATTGTGGATTTAAATCAGGAATTGGTGATGTTGTTGGAAATGCAATTGGTAAACAAACTCTACTAACTGGGCTATCTTTAATGGACAATCCAATTGGAACTGAAGTTGGAAAAAGTATTTTTGAAAATATTAAAACAAATTGTACAAAGTTGACAGTCATTTATTTCAAAAATTGTGGATTTAAATCAGGAATTGGTGATGTTGTTGGAGATGCAATTGGTAAACAAACTCTACTAACTGAGCTATCTTTAAGGGACAATCCAATTGGAACTGAAGTTGGAAAAAGTATTTTTGAAAATATTAAAACAAATTGTACAAAGTTGACAGTCATTGATTTCCAAAATTGTGGATTTAAATCAGGAATTGGTGATGTTGTTGGAGATGCAATTGGTAAACAAACTCTACTAACTGAGCTATCTTTAAGGGACAATCCAATTGGAACAGAAGTTGGAAAAAGTATTTTTGAAAATATTAAAACAAATTGTACAAAGTTGACAGTCATTGATTTCCAAAATTGTGGATTTAAATCAGGAATTGGTGATGTTGTTGGAGATGCAATTGGTAAACAAACTCTACTAACTGAGCTATCTTTAAGGGACAATCCAATTGGAACGAAGTTGGAAAAAGTATTTTTGAAAATATTAAAACAAATTGCACTGAAGTTGAAAGCATTAATTTCAATAATTGTGGATTTGAATCAGGAATTGGTGATGTTGTTGGAGATGCAATTGGTAAACAAACTCTACTGACTGAACTATTTTTAAGTGACAATCCAATTGGAACAGAAGTTGGAAAAAGTATTTTGAAAATATTAAAACAAATTGTACAAAGTTGACAGTCATTTATTTCCAAAATTGTGGATTTAAATCAGGAATTGGTGATGTTGTTGGAGATGCAATTGGTAAACAAACTCTACTAACTGAACTATTTTTAAGTGACAATCCAATTGGAACTGAAGTTGGAAAAAGTATTTTTGAAAATATTAAAAGAAATTGCACAAAGTTGACAGC